ACATACCCTCAGTGCCTAAGTGCCTAAATCACTTTTGAAAATGTGACAAGCTCCTAATGCACCTAGGTGCCTTTGAAGGCTTTGCACTTTATCTGTAGACTGTAGAGTTATCATCACTGGCTGAGAATTCTGACCAGGTGAAAATGTAGCAAAATCATGTTAAAAGAAATAGTTTGTCACCACACTTCTCCATTAAAAGCCTTTTCAATGGCTTGGGAGATCCGCTATCACTTACTGTGGCTGCTCAATGCTCTTGTAACTCACCCTGGGCAGAAAGACAGCATGAGACCCAGGCCTATGCATCACTGAAATCCAACTTATGCCCATGTTGAGGACTCAAGTGATGCTCAAGTGGTGCACAGGTGTGGTGCTGCCCCTCCACACAGCAGTGATTTTCACCTAAAGCGATCATAAACTTTTTAGATGGGAGCTGACATGGACAGAATCATTCTTCTGAATTAAGCAAAACAAAACTGGCTTTCTGCCTCAGCCTTTACATCCTAGGAAACCTCTCATGAGTCAGGATCAGCTGGTTGCAAAGAGTTCAGTGAGATTCTGTGAACACCAAGACTATCCTCCTGATGAGCCTTTGACCTTCACATTGGTTCCCCCACCGACCTCTCTGAGCAGTTTTCTTCTGTACCATACACAGCATGTGTGGCTGTGGCTGGGTTATTACTGGTGTTCGGGGCACTGGAAGACAACAGGAACTTGTGGGCAAATCAGAACTTTTTGGGTGCATTGTTTATAGCTCAGGACTGATTGGTCACAGAGGTGTGATAGGGAGGAGTCCTGCCTCTGAGTCTCAGGGATTCGGTTACAAAGGATCAGTACAGCACGGGCAGCTCTTTAGTATCCAAACACTCTACAGTAGTGAACTCACAAATTGTCCCAATTCCATTTGCAGGCAGCTCAAATGTTTCCACTGTGCTTTGTGTGCTTCCTCACTACTCTTCAGCAGTGGCACTGTATGTGATCAGTGCACACATGTGAATGGAGGGGTATAATACAGCAAGAGATGGGATTTGAATTGCTTTGCACCTCCTGATTGAAGTACAAAAGAATAGAAAAAAGGTATGCTGCCTCCTGCCATGTATTGTCTCTCTATACAGCGCACAGACTCCATATTTACAGCATATGGACATACACCTCTTGTATATATAAACTGCACATGGAAACTATTAAAGTTTTCTACCACTCTGCAGTGGTGTTTTACCAGTTAAAAAAAAGCTACTGCTCCTGAAAGCAAGGGACTGATAAGAAGACAAGCTACAGAGATGATGAATCTGCTGGCAGGCACGGCATACGTTTTCCCATACAACTCTGCCAACACGCATCAATTCTGACCTTCAACAACCCTGCTATTCTTGTTCTGGGCCCTTTCTGAGCATGTGACCTACAGCTTCCCCAGTTATTTCCATCCTGGGCTTCTCCTGAGCAGGAACGACAATTGCACTACATTTGGTGGTGATTTAGGGATGCTTTAATGGAAAGTAGGATGAGACCAAAAAATGCATTTGCCCCTGTGGCTTATTGTGTGCAAGATTTAAACCTATGCACTCACCTAGCCCCTGTTCTCTAAGTTAATCCTTGTTACCTACAGGGAATATTGTAATTATTAATTATTATTATTATACTATATTGGGCTCCATCCTGTGACCCAGTGATGTCAATAGGAATTTCGCCATTAATCAGCGGCAGCAGGAACACACCCCTTACCTGATATATTGCCAGGAGTGACACCAGAGCTATGGCTAAGAGGGGAATATTAGTGTGTGTGTTTACTGGAGATGGACACAGTGAATCAGAAAACATAGAAAGGCTTCTGAACCATTGCCTCTTTCTAGCACCAAACATTTAGTTTTCTGAAATGTGTGGACACGCATTTGAACTTTCAGCTCTGGACAGGACTATGCTGAAATACTGCAAGAAAAGTTGATTTCATGTGGCATAAGCCAAAGCTCATTGAAGTCAACAGGTTCATTGACTTCAGTGGGCTTTGGATCAGGCCCAAGGTCTGGGACTGGAAGCAGCAGTGCTGGAAATTTTTGAGACAAAGGCCGTTGTCATGAGATTTCCAGCTCAGTTTGGCAGAACCAAGAGGCTCAGATCGTTTGGATTTTGCAATCAAACTTCAGGTTCCTTGTTTGAAACTAGACTCCTTACCTTTGGAGATTCACCCAGCACTAGCCTTTATATGCAGTTTGTGCTTCATGGACATTTTCTACTCTTTGTCTTTCAGTGGAGTCTGGCAATCTTCCAAAGCTGTCTTAGGTTTTCACCTCAAGCCTTCCTCCTCTGCCTGGATAAGCATTTTTCTGCATGCAAACGGTATGGGACATGAAAGAGTTCTCAATTTGGCTACAAACAGATCAGCGTTGGTCGTGTGTGTGTGTTTGTTTCTTTAGTGTCTCGACGCCTGCTGTAGATGCACAGAGAAGAAGAAATAGCTCAAATAATATGTCTTTGTTTAAGCTCTACAGTTGGTAACTCATTATTTCGTTTCCATTTCACACGTAGCACTCAAGAATTAAGGAGAGATTACAGTAATTTTCTTCTCAGCTACACTTATTAGTGTAGCCAGGATCAGAGGTGCTGCAAAATGGGGAAGAACAGCCATAAAGACACAGTCTTCCAGTAACACTTGGGACAGGCAGGGGAGATCCTGCCCATCAGCCCTCACCCTAACTAAGGGCTCCTATTCTATTGATCACTTGATGTACCAGTAGGATTACAAGTCAAAACCAGAACTGGCCCTAAACTGTTTGCTTGAAGAGGGAATCAGGAGAACATTTGCATTCTTTAATGATTCTCTGCTGGGAGTGTGAAGAACTTCCACTGAGAGGAATTTGGTTTAACTCTTTCAGAGTACTTAGAATCACTTTTCACTGACCAAAACTGCTTGTCAAAAACATGAATAGCTCTGTTCACCTGAGGGGTTGTGAGCAGCTGCTGAGGATCAGGGCATGGAGGGCTATGCCTGAAAAATGTTTTTAAAATACTAACTATGAGATTACTAAATATGGGGAGATCAGTTGTGTATATGGGGAGGGTGGGAGTGGGGAGAAGAGATGGATAATATATACAGATGGGCTGGTATGAGTCTGGTATTTCGACACTCGACCAGCTTTAGCTTTAAGAGAGTGGCATATACAGTACATTGGATATAGAGTACATGGAATCCTGCCATGTAGTACAATCACACATACACTGCCCCTGGTATGTATGGACATGAGAACCCTCATTGTATCCACAGAACAACTGCACTACACGGTAATTGGAGATCCACTATAAGTAAAACTGAAGTTTGCATGCCGCAGTGCATTGAAACAATTCATTCTACTTCACAATGAGTGGCATTTCATGACGTCTGTGTTCACTTAAGCAGGTTCCTCTGTGGATCTCTGGAACATATACATTTCGTGTCATAGAAGTGAGACATGAAAGGCAATTTGTGAGACACTCTGGCAAATATTGGACTCCACAGTTATCAAGCTTCCAGTAAGAGAATCCAAATACCCAACAGTGTATTAGGCAGGGACAAGAATATCACTTCAGCAATGGGAGCAGATGGGGAAAGAGGAACGGGGTATCAGTCCTGCAAGATACTAAGCCCTATGACCTGATGCAGTAAAGCACTTTAAGCATGTGAGGAGTCAGTAGCATTACTTACATGCTTCAAGTTGAGCACACGCTTAAGTGCTTTGCTGAATTAGGATAGAGTGTTCAGCACATGGCAGAATCAAGTCATGGGTCCTTAAAATTGAGATCACTGTCAACCAATTCAGAACTACTTCTGAAGCCTAGAAACTAGAGATGAGCCCGAGTCACATCTGGTTGTAGTTTCAGGAACACATTTCAAAGCTTTCCTAAAATTCAGAGTGGGTTCAGAATTGGGGGTTCTGCTCTGGCCCATTATAGAATTATACAGTAATCACAACCTTTGGATCTGGCTTCAGGTGTGAATTTTAAAATAACCCTTGATCAAAAACTGAGCATGTGGAGATTCAGAATTCCAGTCTGAGCCAATAGAAAGCATGACAAAGGCTCTGATCCCTGATAATGTATAAATAAATACTTAGGTGTCTTGCACTCTGTTCCTGGGATTGAGTGGAATTCTGAATACTCCGTAGGGTTCCTGTCCTGATTTTGGGGAAGAGGGTGGGAGAACTGCCCTCTTGACAAATGGCTCCTTCTACAAGCCAGAGTTTGGCACACACTAAAAATTAAGCAATTAAGGATAAATATTCACCTGTCACGTCAATAGCTGTCCACATAATTTTTTACATAGTGGGTGCCCACTTATATTACCCACCCCTAGGGCAGGTCTTGGAAGGCATAGGCTAGTGAGTAGATAATCAGAGAATTGGGCCAAGTCTCCAGAGTTAACACTTCTCTTCTTCTTTAAAGCAAAATGAATGTAACTGCCCCCTCCCTCCCCACACACATACACACAAACTCACATACATTTTGTAAATTGCCAGCTTCAAAGTACATCATCATAAAGGCAGGACTATTTTTATCCCAGGTGCAGGAAGAAAGAAAGACCGAGGAGCTCACAGAACAGTAGAACTGATTTCTGCCTCTTTACATTTTGCTGCTATGCCTCTTTTGAAAATCCATCGACAAAAGAACCCATGAGCTGTCACTGATCATACCACAATGAGCCGGCTGTGTGGTGCTTTCCAGGCCACGATAGCTGATGGTGGAGTGGAGCAGGTACTCTCTGTGCACTTTGATCCTACCCAAGGCACATCAAATATAAGTACTTACATATAAGGGTTCTACTAACATACCCACCATAGAGGTGGTGGAGAGGTTTTGTTCAAAAATTGTTTCAATGAAATGTGGCCTTTTTAAAAAAAATGATTTTTTTCACAAAAATATCGGTTTGCTCAAAAATGTCAATATGTTTCAAACATTTTCTCTAAAAACTTTTCATTTTTTCAATGGTTGTTTTTGTTTTCCATTTATTATTTTTTGCTTTCAGTTATTTTTAATTTTCTGTGTTTTCTTATTTTTCCCCCTTTTACCATTGTTAATTAGTCAGCTTAGTCATATGGTAGGAATTTTGAAAATTGACCAGTTTTATTTACAAAACCATGATTTTTGAAAGCACTTTAATTTTTAAAAATTGCCAAAAAAAAATTAAAAACCAAAAAATTGGTCCATTTAGAAACCAAAACTCTTCAATTTTTTTAAATGTTTCAACCAGCTCCGTTTGCAAGCGAAATGAATGAAAACTCACCTACAGAAGGTGGCACTTTAGTGTGAACACACTCCTTTGGCAGCTTGGATTTGCTTGATTGTGGAATATGTAAAAGCCAAATCAAGCTAACAAAAAAACAAACAGCTTAGTGAGAATAAAAGATAGACAAATCAATCCTACTCTGAAATACCCCAAGAGTCTTCATTTCTTTGGGCCAGATTAATAAAACAAAATCAACAAAAAGACCTAGGGGAAGGGAAAGGAGAGAGGGTGCAGGGAACGACTGACAATGTCTCTATAATTGTATTGTATGACAATGACTGTTTTTTTTAAAAGTAGGCAAAACACTGTCTCCCCGCAGCACTATAAGCCTAGAAGTCAACACATCCTTTTTTTTCAGGAGCAAATTCTGTTTCAAATGGATTGCCTCTTCTGCCAATTATTTTTGCTTAGATGCCATGGATGTTTGTTATCTATCGACCAACTAGGACATGTGACGTGATCTATTCATGTAACAAATGGTTGCAGAGATTGGTCTTGAATTAACAACTGTTTTTTCATACCCCTTCTCCCCTCCCTGCACATTTGTCAGTAAATGCCTCAAGGAAGTGGTTCTCTACACTCCTTCACATGGCTATTCAGTGAGAGCACCCTCTGACTCCACTTTAGTTACTCTATTGGAGCCTTCTCCCCTGCATTCCTTCCAGCCACACCTTCCACAGTAGGAACTACTGGAATTTCAGGTGAAATTTAGCTTCCCTGGATGATTTATTCCTCCCCAGTTGAGTTTTAGCTGCTAAATTAGCTGTTCTGGGATCTATGAGCTGCACAATGAGAGGAGCAGAGTAGAAAGGGGATGGCAGATAGGGCAGAAGCAGGAAAAAGAGAAAGACACACACACAGAAAAAGAGAGAGAATTCTAATTGTGGATTCACAACTATATCATACAAGACTTGAGCTCATGGGGAATGGATTTTCATTCTCTGCATCTGACCCATTCTATTCCATCTGTATAGATTGTTCTCCCAAATGGAAAGAAGAGATGTCCAGTGAAATGGGGCAGTTTCCAATGACAAGATGTGGGAAAGTCTTTTTTGGCATACCTGGACACAACAAGAGGCACCACTTATTTCTCCCTTACAAAAACTTGTCCCCCTTTTCTCCTCCGCAATGGCTTTTGCCCAATGGTCTTTAATTTCCAAAATGGAAAATAAAACAAATCCTACTCAAATAAATATTCAGGAAAATCAACTGCAAGGGCTATCCCACCTCCCTTCCCCCGGATGGTTCTTTCCTGGTATCCACCATCCTGAATTTTCCATTGTTCCGTTTGAAAAAAACCAACAACCTCCAGCGAAGGAGACCGGCTGTCTCAGAACTCGTGCCTTCCCTCGCACTTCTGCAGTCTTGATGCCTCTTCCTTGGGCTACAAACACAGCATGGATGGATTATAGACGATCACATTTCAATGTTTTTAAATTTTTCTTTTTGTTAAAAAAAAGAAGGGAAAATAGAGTTATACACACATGTATCACAGCATTTTCAAAAGGCCCCCCACTGCGTCTCTGTTAGCAGTTCAGCCTCCGTGTTAAGCCTGGATGTAAGGCAGCTGGAAGATTAAAACGGCATTGTTAGAACATCCGCTGAAATGTCCTCATGGTTTTTTTCTTCTTTGTTTGTTTGTTTGTTGTTCCATATTTATTTTATTTGTTTGTTTTTTTAAAGTTTGGCAGGCAAAGAGAAAATGCTTCCTCCCCCCCGCTTTTTTAGGCAGGAAGAAAAATAACGATGGGACAGTTTGTTTTTTTAAAGGTGTTAGGGGTTTGAAAATGGCCTCGAGGAGGTTACATTCTAGAGGTGACTCAGATGGTTGATTCGTTTCTTTGCTTGTTGCTTGTATTCTCCTCTTGCCTTGCAGTTGATAGTTTTTGGTTCCCCACGTCCTGTACAGACTCAGGTTTCACATCCTCCATATAACCTGCTTCCCCACCCACCCCAGGTGGCAGTAGATAGATGCAACAGTATTTTCACTTGACCTTTACATTATGATACTGAAGTTAAGAGTTAGATGGAAGAGCCATGTTACAGAAAAGCTTTCCCATCTCTGTGAGAAAGAACGAAGCAACAGAAAGTCCTGGGGAGATGCAGGTGCCATGTTGAACTGAGCTCTACCTTGGCACTGGCATCAGTTTGAGATAAATATATCTATACATATATATATATGTATGTATGTGTATACATATATATATATACACACATTTGTTTATTTATTTTAGCACACTGTCCCATTCTCAGGTCTGGATTTGGGGCAGTTGGTCCTGGGGACAGGTTGGACAGAAGGGGCCAGGGTGCAGAAGAAGCCCGATATAAGAGTGAGGCCCAGGCCTCCCCACGCACAGAACATGGACCAGCCGTAGCCATGACTGATGTCATCGGGAAGTCCGTACAGGTAGCGGGGGTAGCGGGAGAGCTCGAAGTTGATTCCAGCCACGCATGTGCACAGTGAAATGATGCAGAAGGTACCTGGAGAAGGACAAGAGGGGGGAAGGAGGGAGGAAAAGAATAAAGAAAGGTTAGAATGATAAAAGTAGCATTCCCCAGCTGTCTGCAAAAGAGGCAGTGTGATCAATAAGGGAATATCTGAAAGGCTGGAGGAATTGCTACAAAAAGCGGCATGGTCACACTGGGTGCCAGGAACTGCTGAGCTGTAGCACTGGCCCTGACTAGAGCTGGTTGGAGAAACTTCCATTGGAATAGGCTGTTCCATCAGAATCAAATCGCTTTGTGAAATCAGGGCAATTTCACTGGTATTTTGTTTTGAAAATAGAAAAGGGGGAGGGGAAGTTCTGACTGTGTCAAAACATCCCATTTTGACATTTTCTCACTAAAATATTTCAGTTTTTCATTTTACATCACTTTTCTTTTAATTTTTTAAAAATTTTGCAGTATATTGCATAGTATAACACATCAATTGAAAGTTGAAAATGTTCTCAAAAAAAAGCGTTCTGAACCACCTGAAATGACACTTTTGGGGAATTTTTCTTCACAGAGAATTTTAAAATGTTTGGTTTTCACTCCAGTTCTGAACATTTTGAAATCTCCAAATCCTTCACAAAACGGAACATCTGTCCTCCTTGCCATTCTAGCCTCCCGCTGCCTCTCTCTGTAATACTGGGGAAGTCACTGAGGCCTGGTTTACACTAAAATGTTAGGTCAACGTTGCTACATTACTCAGGGGTGTGAAAAATCCACACACCCCCGAGTGACATAGTTAAGCCGACCTAACCCCCAGTGTAGACAGCACTAAGTTGATGGAAGAATTCTTCTGTTGACCTAGTTACCACCTCTATGGGAGTTCCCATCAGCATAGGTAATATCTACACTGAAGCGATACAGTGGTGCAGCTGCAATGCTGCAGATATGCTGCTGTAACACTTCAAGTGTAGACAAACCCTGAAACTTGCTGCCTCAGTTTTCCATCTGCAAAAGAGGATGAGAGTACTTACCTACTTCATGAGAAGCTTGTGTGTGTAATTCTGGCAGATAAGAAGTGTTATGGAAAGACATGAGTCTCATTTGAGTTGAGGTTTCACTGAGCTACTCTCCCTTTATGAGCTTGATTTTCCTCTTTGATCCCACCCCCCAATTTCACCAAATTAAATCCAGACCTCTTCACATTTCACAGGAGTGAACGATCTGTCTATGGTATGTTCTTATAATGTATCACCAAGGCACAAAACGAAATCAAACTAGCTAGAGACATAAAGGGTAACAAAAAAAACCTTCTACAAATATATTAGAAGCAAGAGGAAGACCAAGGACAGGGTAGGCCCATTGCTCAATGGAGGGGGGGGGGAAACAACAACAGAAAATGTGGAAATGGCAGAGATGCTTAATGACTTCTTTGTTTTGGTTTTCAGCAAGAAGGTTGGTAGTGATTGGACATCTAACACAGTGAATGCCAGTGAAAATGAGGTAGGATCAGAGGCTGAAATAGGGAAAGAACAAGTTAAAAATTACTTAGAAAAGTTAGGTGTCTTCAAGTCACCAGGGCCTGATGAAATGTATCCTAGAATACTCAAGGAGTTGACTGAGGATATATCGGAGACATTAGCGCTCATCTTTGAAAAGTCATGGAAGATGGGAGAGATTCCAGAAAACTGGAAAAGCAAATATAGTGCCAATCTATAAAAAGGGAAATAAGGACAACCCAGGGAGTTGCAGACCAGTCAGCTTAACTTCTGTACCCAGAAAAATAATGGAGCAAATAATTAAGCAATCAATTTGCAAACAACTATAAGATAATAAGGTGATAAGTAACAGTCAGCATGGATTTGTCAAGAACAAATCTTGTCAAACCAACCTGATAGCTTTCTTTGACAGGGTAACAAGCCTTGTGGATAGGGGGGAAGCGGTAGATGTGGTATATCTTGACTTTAGTGAGGCTTTTGATACTGTCTTGCATGACCTTCTCATAAACAAACTACTGAAATGCAACCTAGATGGAGCTACTATAAGGTGGGTGCAAAACTGGTTTGAAAACCGTTCCCAGAGAGTAGTTATCAGTGGTTCACAGTCATGCTGGAAGGGCATATTAAGTGGGGTCCTGCAGGGATCAGTTCTGGGGCCAATTCTGTTCAATATCTTCATCAATGATTTAGATAATGGTACAGAGAGTACACTTATAAAGTTTGCGGACAATACCAAGCTGGGAGGGGTTGCAAGTGCTTTGGAGGATAAGATTATAATTCAAAATAATCTGCACAAACTGGAGAAATGGTCTGAAGTAAATAGGATTAAATTCAATAATGATAAATGCAATGTACTCCACTTAGGAAGGAAAAATCAGGGAAATGACTGCCTCGGAAGGAGTATTGAGGAAAGGGATCTGGAAGTCATAGTGCACCACAAGCTAAATATGAGTCAACAGTGTAACACTGTTGCAAAAAATGCAAACATCATTCTGGGATGTATTAGCAGGAGTGTAGTAAGCAAGACACGAGAAGTAATTCTTCTGCTCTACTCCACACTGATTAGGCCTCAACTGGAGTATTGTGTCCAGTTCTGGGCGCCACATTTCAGGAAAGATATGATAAATTGAAGAAAGTTCAGAGAACAACAACAAAATGATTAAAGGTCTAGAAAACATGACCTATGAGGGAAGATTGAAAAAATTGGGTTTGTTTAGTCTGGAGAAGAGAAGACCGAGGGGGGACATGATAACAGTTTTCAAGTACATAAAAGGTTGTTAGAGGGAGGAGGGAGAAAAATTGTTCTCCTTAATCTCCGAGGATACGACAAGAAGCAACGGGCTTACATTGCAGCAAGGGAGGTTTAGGTTGGACATTAGGAAAAACTTCCTAACTGTCAGGGTGGTTAAACAGTGGAATAAATTGCCTAGGGAGGTTGTGGAATCTCCATCATTGGAGATTTTTAAGAGCAGGTTAGACAAACACCTGTCAGGGATGGTCTAGATAATACTTAGTCCTGCCGTGAGTGCAGGGGACTGGATTAGATGACCTCTCGAGGTCCTTTCCATCCTATGATTTTACCATAGAATCTGAGTACCTCTCCCTAGAGATGATAGCCAAAATAACAGTAGAGCCAATGGTCTAATTTTCCTCCTTACTTCACCCCCAACACAGTCAGGGCCATGTTATTTTTATAATATTTCCTTCTCTCGCTCTTTTTCCATTCTTCTCTTACTACTCCTCTTCTCTCTCCTTCTTGCTTTTGCCTCTTTTTCTTCCTCTTCTTTACCATTGCTAGTTGCAGCTAAGCAGTGAATTGTACACACTCCATTCTGCGGGCATGAGTGGAATTATGCTAGAGTAGAATATTTCCGGAATGTCTGAAGCCAATCAGACAAGGTGTTGGGGAGAACACATACCAAAAGACATCCTTGGCACACAGGGACATGCCAGTATGGCAAAATCCTTTTTAGAGGCTGCAGCAAAACAAGTCTAGGATCTCCATGTGAATCCCATCTCCACCATTGACCTCCTGTGTGACCTTAGGCAAGTCACTTCCTCTCTCTCTACCTGTTTCCTCCTTCCCCTTCTTTGGGTACGTCTACACAGCACTCAGAGTTGATTGCAGCACAGGATGGAATACCCACGCAAGCTTTAATCTAGCTAGCATGGCTAAAAATAGCCGTGGCACGGGCTTCAGCACAGGCTGTACAAGCATGCTGGGGACCCTGGGACTATACCCATGTTGCTGGCCTGTTCCTTGCATATTCACTGCTATTTTTAGCCATGCTAGCTAGATTGAAGCTAATGCTGGTAAGCTAACCGAGCTGCAATCACACCTCCGACTGCAGTGTATATATACCTTTTGTCTGTCTTGTCTATTTAGATTGTAAATTCTTTGGGACAGGGACTGTCTCTTATTATGTGTTTGTACAGCACCTATCACAGTGGCCCCCAAATTGTGGAGCACACCCCTTTAGAAGGCATGGAGGAACATCCGAGATGCACAACAGGGCCCAGCCCAGCCACCACAGGAGATGGGGAGGGAGCGCCGCCCAGCCCTGCTCTGCCCTTAGCTTCACTCTGCTCCGGCCTCGGCCCTGCCCTCACCCCCAGCCTACCTGCCGCAACTGTGGCCCTGGCTCCGCTCCTGGCCCCCGGCTCTCGCTTACGGCCCCAGCTCTGCCCCAGGCCCCCGGCCCGCAGCTGCAGCTCCACTCCCAGCGGGGGCAGACACATTCCATTACAGGAAAGGTGGGTTGTGAGAGGACAATTTTGGGCACCACTGACCTAGCACAATGAGCCCCCACTCTCAGCTGCGGCCTCTAAATGATACTATAATAAAATAAATAAATAATAATAATAATGACCAATAATAATGAATAATAATCTGGTAGTGCCAAAATGCCAGAGGGCTCCCTCCATCTCTGAATTCACTAGAGACACTTCCTTTGCTTGTGTAACAGCAGCAAGGAAATCCCACATTCATTAGAAGTTGGAGACACACCTTACATGGGGTGGGGTTGTGGTAGGAAGGGACCCCTCTTGTAAGAAGCAAGCTGCTAGAAGAGTCACTCCCCTCTCCTTGCTGCCCCCATATTAATACTTAGTTCTGGCTCACATTTTCTTCATGCAAATGCCTGGGCATGCTAACCATTAACCCGTCCCGTGCTGCACAGCACAGAACGCTCTGGCCAGCATCGTACAGAGTGGAACGCTGTGACCACAGCTCTGAATATTTTCCTTTGGCATGAAGGTACACACAAAGAGTGATTAAAACTGGCCCCCGACACTTTTTTGGGCCTGATTCTCACTTGCACTGAGGCCCCTTTACATCACTCTGGGAGTGTACCTGCTGCCAGAACCTTACTGTAAGTGGGCATCGGGCTCTTTTGAGCTAAAGGTTTCACAGCCCTCTTAAAAGGAAGAGATGCTCTGAACCTGTCCCTGCTCTGAGGCTAAATGAAGACCAACAAACAGAGACCAAGAGCCTCAATATATTTCTGCTGCAGATGGTTTTATCTCCCTGCCTCCCACATACATGACCCTGGC